TTTCTATCATTTGCAATCTTGTGTTATTTTAGTTGTTGAAAGAAACAATTTCTGTAGTTCCAGAGAAATCATCAACTTTCCAACTAAATCACAAGCCACCGACAACGTCTTCTAGTAAAAGCCCTTACTCAATGATAGAAAGATTGGCTAGAAAATTACGTGTGAAGCTGAAGAATTAGACCTCAAAGAAAGTGTCAAACATCCAAACACTAGGTATTTTGACTTGACTATTCCATTTCACTCTCTTCACCTTCTTTTGCTTCTTAGTTTCTATGTATTCATGAGGGTTTTATTGAATTTTTTTTATTTTATATTTTGTTCTTTTTATAATTTGGTTTCGGCATATGCTGGCTGAAAATGTGCCTGCTTTAATTGTCAGGTAAACTAGATCAAGTAAGGCCTCAAGGAGAGGAATTTTTTAGGTTTCTGGGTATGCTTTTTGGGTTCTTAATCTAAAAGCTTTGTACCAAAGAAAGTTTTTGATAAAAATTCGTATCATTTTCAGGTTTCCTACAAAATTTTTTGTTGTCATGATCGTGAATTGTGCAAAGAGGTGAATTTTTCCTTTCCAAGAGTGCAGTTAAAGTTCACAAATGCAAGTCAAAGCATGGAGACACATACTCATGATTTTTATCTATTTAGGCTACTTGAAGAGTTTGTTTGAAAAATATGGTCTTGCTGGTTGATTAGCAGTCCTACAAGTTACCATATAAAGCTTCTTAGTGGAGACTTAAACTCACAGGTTAGATTTTCCTTAAAAATGGCATCTCATTATGAACAATTTTCTTCTGTTTATTTATTACTTTTACTTTGTTTATTTATTACTTTTACTTTGTATGGTGGATTAGCCCCAATCTAAACTTCTAAACCCCCTCCTAAATCCAAATCCAAATGTGTTTCAGGAGTACAATGCATCAATTGAGTGCTACTGGGCTCCCTTCATGAGTTTGATTCATACCATTCAACATATCATACTGTCCTGAGATGACTGGTGAACCTTGCTGCCATAGCCAAACATGGCAAGAACTAGGAAGGAGTTGATGTGTTGGTGTTTGAGAGCTATCTCTGATGGATGCACAAGCATAACAAGCCTTAATCAATGCTATGTAAGTTTCCAATTTTCAATCTAATGCTTTCTATTCCATCCAAATTCTTCTAGATTTTCTGAACCTTGCTGCCATAGCCAAACATGGCAGGAGGAAGGAAGGAGTTTGATGTGTTGGTGTGTGAAGCTATGTCTGGTGGATGTACAAGTGTAAGAAACTTCAGATCAATGTTATGTAAGTTTCTGGGTTTTGATCTAAGGCTTTCTATTCCATCCAAATTCTTCTGGTTTTTGTGCTCCTAGGGCAAAATTTCTATTTGAAGATAACATTCTAGAATCCAACAAGTTAATCTAAGTTCTAATTTCTTCCTAAGTTTCTTTTTCCTTTTTGTTTTGTGTTTTTCTATCAGTTATGGAATTCCTGGGATTGTTCAAGAATCTAATGTGACAACTACTTGTGAATTGAGAAACCTTGGCAAATTGGTTAGAATCCAACATCAATCCTTTATGTGCCCAACACACCTATGGTATGTTTCAGTTGTTGTTTTCTACTAAGAAACATCCCAAATTCTCAAATTATAAAGACTATGATAATATAGGGAGCTATCAAATTGTTATAAATCCTCTTGATGAAGTAGAAAGAGTTAATCCTCTTTTCTTTCAAATTTATAAGCTTTTTTTTTGTTTTCACTGATATAGGGAGCTATCAGTTTTAAGGTTAGTGTTTTTGTTTAAGTCCATCTCCATCCACACCACCTCCCACTTGTTTTATGAAATTTAGTAGTGATTATGGTTTTTTGATTTACATTGTTGAAATTATCTTAGGAATAGTAGAGGGAAAAGGAGATTGGCTATGGTAGTTGAACTTAACCAGCAATGGAAGGTATATGAAGAAGATTGAACTTGTGAAACATGAAGACTTTTACAAGCTTCACTATCTGTTTCTTTTGGGATATACAGCACAAAAAGTGAAGCAGGAAAGAAGAGGATTTAGCAAGATGTAACTTGCATTTTTTGTTATGTAAGTTTCCACTTAGTGGCTAGTTTCTATTTCCTTTTATGGTCTATTAGCCTTTCATTCATGCCACAACAATCTAGGGCTTGCCTCATGATTTTTTGTTTTGCAGATTGGCCACCATTTACCCCAGTTGTTCTTAATGATATTACAAATGATATGTTGATTTATTGACAAAAGTTGATGTTTATTGCCCTTTCATCATTCTTAGGTGTGCAAGCTTTTTGCCTTTTTAGTTTTCGTTGTGGGTTATTTTAGCCTTGCATTTTGGTAGAGTATATTTATTGACTGAATACATGCAATTGTATACTTGATGTTATTTATAGGTATGGAAAAATGTCTCTATTGATATATGTTATGAATGGTAACAGTATTATTTTTCCTTATGCAGGATTGGTTTTGTGCTTTTTCTGGAATGACATAACTACTACTGCAACATGCATCAAAGGGGACGAATGGAAGCCATGTGGTAATGAGAATTGCTACAAACGAGGCCTATCCAATCCAAGAAGCATCATATTGGGGAATTGGCTCTCGTCTTCCCAGCATGGTGACAGTCTACAACATCTTACCAGCATGGGAACTAAAGATCAACCATTAATGTTTTGAACAAATACACAATTGTCAAAATATCAAAAACATGTTCATATATCTGTTTATGGTGAACAGAAGGAAAAAACTCGACAAGAAATAGAGCTTTGACCCTAAAGGTTTGGCTGATTGTGTTTTCATTGGTTCTTACCAAGACTACCTAATACATAGAATGAGATTATGTATACATATTTGTTAAACAGTTGTAAAAATCTTTGTGATCTATCAAAACCTCTTTTTTAGATATCTGATGACACACTTTATACCTGCGTACTCTAGATTCTTTCTATGTATTGCTTTAGCTGTTTTCTTTAGGTCATTATCCTGCTTTTATAAAAAATCAAAAACTCAAAAAATATAATCTATTATTTTAAATAACTAGAGTAATAAAAATTACAATTGTTTCTCAAAGTTATTGGGGAAATGGATGTGATTATTATCATTATAAGAAGTGTTAAAGTTATTAATTTTTATTTTTTATAAATAGTGT